CATGCCATGGCAGCCGAGCACTTGGCGTTCCACTTCTCGTTGTCTGCGCTCCAAGGTGGTTCTTATGTCACATGGTACACACACCACTGCGTTGGCGAATGTCAAACCTGGCACCACCACCGCCTTCCACATTTCGCAGCCCACTATGAACCTTTTACAGCTCCATAGGCTGCGCTTACGTAGGATGTTAGCTCCCTGTGCGGCGGATTGACGGAGGTCGTCGTAGTGGTCTTTCAGGTAGTCTGACTCAATGGAAAACACAACACCTACGTACTTAATACTTGCTCAGTACCGGTAATACGTCAAGGCTCAATCTGAGGCGGTCGAGCTTTTCTTTTTCAATGCCCACGAATCGTATCACGGCGGACTCGGATGTGTTGTACTCGAGACCAAGGACGGCAGCCTTATCAGCACATACGTCGAGAAGTTGTTGCGTCTCCGTTTCACAGGCCGCCGTCAGCACAATGTCGTCCGCGAAAGTGAGACCCGGTAGCACCCAGTTCACGGCCTCTCCGTTTTCCAGGTGCAGTAGCGAGAAGCCCAGTCCTGATTCTATTCAACCGCTGCTCTAGTCGCACGACATACAGCATGTAGAGAAGCGGCGAGGATCCTTCGCGCAATGGACATCCTTCGCGCTATCCAAGTGTCACTACGCTTTCTTCTGTTCTGACCTCTCCCTCCTGAGTTGTCACCGTGTTGCATGTGTGTGGTCTACTGAGTCGGCATATAGAGCTGCTCCAGCCTTGATAGAAACTTGTCGTGTGGAACGCTGTCATAAGCCTTGGCGACGTCTAAGAAGGAGTATATTAGTCTTCTCTCCTCTTTTCGAGTCACTTCAATGCACTGTGTATGTGTACGCGTTGTCTTCCAGTCGTCGGCCACGACGAAACCCTCCTTGGAGCTCAGTGAGAAGACCCTCTTTCTCCATGCATGTTGTCAAGCTCTCTTTCACGATGCATGCAAAAACCCTGTACACAATGCTGGTGACTGTAAGGGGCCTGCAGTTCCGGAAGTAGCGTTGATGTACTAATTTCTTTGGTACAAGCACAACCTTTCATCGCCTCCAGTCTTTAGGTAAAGGCTGTCTTCCGATGAGAATCTCGGTGAAGATCTCAGCCAGGTGTTCTCTCGAATCCATCTGTAGTGTTTTGAGGACGTATGCCTAATCCTGGAGCTGTGCTGCTTTTGATGTGGGCTAGAGCACGTACAAGTGACACCAGGCCAGTCTTCTCGTCGAGACTTGCGAGGGTACATTCCGTGCTGCTCTCTGTGGCGATAGTTTGGCGTGGCGCCGTTTCGTGCGGTGCGAACACTTCCATCAAATTTTCTGTGAGACACTGGTCAAGCGCGTCCACCTCAAATCCTGTGCGCTCGTCTATGGTGACTGGAGTTTGATCCCTGCCCATCCAGGGCTCCCAGGTATTTCCAAAACTTTCTGGGCGCATCTTTCCCACTCGACCGTATTTCCCTAATTTTATCTATGCCTGCAGCAGCTAACTTTTATTGTATGAGTTGTTTGGTGGCGTTTTTTTTTTGTTCCTGGTACATTTTCAACTTTTCAGCGACCTCGTGGCTGGACCCCGTGTGGAGTGTGAAACGGTGCTGCCGATTCACCTCTTTTCGCAATTGGATTACAGCTTGGACCTCCCATCCCACCGTCACTTCCGTCGCCTTCGGCCACCATGACTCTTTGTTGAATGCTGTCTTATCAGTTGTTTTAGTGTATCTACGTATTCCACGTACCCTGATATCATACTTCCTCTGGTCGCTCTTCTCAAATATTTCAACTACCTTAGCCGCAGCTGCGTGGAAAAGACACGGCCGACTTGTGTCCTGATGCTTGTTTATTTTTTTATTCCACACTCCTTTAGACAGCTGAAGAGTAATTCTATTGTGATCACTGCCTAGACTATTCTCCCCCGCTTCGTCAATTGGGGCGCGTACCAGGTATCGCCCAAGATGATGTGAGATCAGGGCGTAGTCAATGCAAGATCTGCTGTCGCGTGCATCCCATGTATATTGGCCTTCACAATTGGAGCTTAGGTTGATCCCTTCTAAGTCTAGCTCTTCCGACAATTTTCGTAGCACGCGCCCATTGTCGTCTTCCCGTCCATCCAACTCGTGTAAATGTCCATTAAAATCTCCCATGATTAGCAGAAATTTTCCGCGTGCCATTGTTCGTGTGTCGTTAGCTATACACTCCATAGAAAGACGGTTCTCCTCACGGCGCGCGCTTCCCGAGAGGTACAGAACACACTCTGCCACCCAGTTAACCACGTGTGTTCCTTGCACCCCTGGCGCTCTCTTTGCCAGTCTGACCCAGTGCGCCAAAAGGCCCCCACTATGGCGCCTCGTGTGTCAGCGTCCTCTGTCCACCCGTCACGTAACTACTGGGATGGAAAGATCTGTATAGTTTGTTTGAATCTCTGAAGAACTGTTGCCATTTTACAAGGCTCCCAAGAAGGCTTGCGAGCGTCGCTTTTCATGTTCTCTTTTCTTGTTATTATCTTTTTTTTTATTATTGGAATCCTCATACTTTTTATTCAATACACCCTTTCCGAATTTCAGTGCCATCTGGTACCAATGGCGGCAACGAACCTGTGGCCTGCAGTATTCTATCAGGCACCGTCACTTTCGCAAGTCAACAGCAAGCGAAAATGTGCTCCTTCACTGTACAGTTCTTTCTCGAGCATCTTTTTCAGTGACGTTGGCCACAAAGATGTAACCAGTCAGAACAAAGCGCCAACCCAGGTAGACGCCTTGATAAAGTTCTATACATCAAGGGACTTTGAAGTCGATTCTGTGCTACTAACAGATTAACTGGGCTCGAGCTATGGAAATGAACGCTTACGCAGCTCTCGCAGTCAATTTTTGCTTCGCATCGTGCTAACATCTCGAATGTATAGGCCTCGAATCCTCAGCTTAAGCTTAGGAGTATATCTTCAACATGTTCCTCCATCAGTAAACAAAAGGCCGTCTTTAGTACTGCACGGACATAGAGCCATTAAATGAGCTGCGCTTAGAGTATCGCCACTCCGTTCCCAAACATTGTAGTGGGCGCCTCCATTTTGGTGCTTGTGGAGAGCAGACGCAACTGTCGATCGTCGTCATTCAAACGTGAGACTTCCTTAGCATTAGATTCGGTGTTAGGAAGTTCATGTAATATTGCTTTGCTTTGTCGCGAACTGTTTAAACATTTGTGAAGGACGGAAACGCGTTTTCTGTGATTAAAAGAGAAGCTTAAGATAACTGGCAACCATGATTTTAAACCACAATATGGCCAAGTGTAGTTACTCTGAAGAGTAGCTTATTGAGTGGCACTAATACGGCACATAGGCCATTTTTCAGATGATGATGATAGTGATCAAAGGAGGGTCTATTGCGCCCGCCTCCTTTGAAATTGTAACATGGATGAGAGTGTCTAGCTGCATCACGGTCCATTCAATATTTTTTACAGCGGCGGCCTAATAACACGCAGTGTCCCCGAGCAAACTGACCTCAAACGAGCTAAAAAAATGCTTTCACTACCTTTACATTTGCTTTTTTTGCCATTTGTTTCCTCAGCATAAAAGGGTGCCTGTCTAGGTGGCTTTGTTTGCGACGCGAACCCGCTATCGGTGAACATTTTTTCGTTTGGTTCCTTTTTCTGCACTCGGATATGACGATACCATGATACAGTTTGGCAGGCAAGCAGCTCGACCTTCTGAAGCTCGGTCCAAAAATTATGCCGGAAAATTGTCGGCACGCGCCTGAAAAACACCACCCGAACAGCGCGGACCCGCCGCCCATTGACCACGCGAACCCCCTTGCCAAAGATAGGGCAACGGGAAATGACCACCCGAATAAACGAGGCTCTTCGGTTGCGGGAAGCCCCTTGTGGTAACTGAACCAATCTCGGGGGAAGAAGGTTTACCGCACCCACTAATCTATCTATTAGCTGCTGTGCTATGTCATGGCGTCATATGCCCGCTGCGGGGGAAGCTACGAACGCTTCTTCCCTTGGGAGCCAGCTGCGCGTACCGGCTGTCGCCTGTTCTGCAGCAGGCTCCCGTAAGACGTACTCAATTCTGCGATTGGCGCTTTTCTTTCACTTTCTCTCGTGGCGCCGAGCGAAAGCTTCGGGCTGTGGATAGCATGGTCCGGAGCAGGGTGTAAGATAGACAGGTGGGGAAACGGCCCATAGAAGCCTACCGCAGCGCCGTCACCGGATTGTGTACTCGTCTGCTTGTGGGTACCGCCGATTTGCGACAGATGGCGCTGCGGCGAGAAGAAAAAAATCGGAATCGGATTTGCATGGAACTTTATGGGAGAGTGCGCAAAATAAACCAAGATCACGACAGTCCTCCATTGAAAATCCACGAGAAACCATCTCCGTCAGTTTAGCCGGTCGCCACCGGTCGCCCACTCGGAGTGAGAGTTCGCGGTGCTCCACATAGATGGCGCCACAGAAAAAGAGAAAACCAAGGAGGACACAATCCGGTCGCTCAATTGGCTCTTGTTTCCCCACCTGTCTATCTTACACCCTGGTCCGGAGCTTGATTCTTATTAAGCTGCTTGGCAAACTTCGCGTGTTACGAATACTTACCTTGAGCATACGCAAGATAAAATATGACTGAGGATTCCTACTATATATGGATGCTTATGCGAGGCCAATAGGCTGTGAGCGCTTATGCGCCCTTGGATGTGTGTATTGATTTTTCTTTACACTTGAGCATTACACTTTTTTCACATGAAACACATACTGCGTTAATAAAAAAAGACTGATGGAATATACATTAGCAAGTTTGAACAGATAGGTACGATCACAGGCACAAAGAAAAAAACAAGTAGGTGGCTCTCAAGCACTGGTTACCGCTCATCCTGTATGTTCGATTGAGGATCAAACGAGAATATTTACTGACGCTTTCACTGAAGTCAGTTTTGTGCAGCATCTGTTAAAGCAGTGCACCCTCCATGTCTCCTTCCAGATTGCTGCTCGTCACAGCAAGAAATCTCGAACAATGAATTGGCCGCCAACCAGCTTACGATCCTTCTTTGTGTTAATTGTCGCCTTGACCATCGTGGTCGTCTTTTGTTTCGGCGTCTTCACCAAGACGGCCGGGCCGTATTTTGTGGTGTTCCCCAGCGAAGACCTTCCTAGCGTCAATCACCTCGCACCTCGTATTCAAACATCTGGATGCACGATGCCACAGTTCGACCCCTTTGACCCGTCCGTGAAGAAGCACTTCAAAAAGGCGAACGGCAAGGCGTGCCCTGGAAATCCCAACTTCATCTCAACACGGTCGGTGCACATTTGCTTCTATGTTGGGGATAAAAGAGGGCGTACTATTTTTTGTTGTTGTTTTGTTTAGGCTTTAGAATACAATAAGAAAGTCGTAAAATCTTCATTAAAGGAGATAGTGCAGGATAGTTAAACGGTGAGGGGGGCAGAATATAGGAGGCTAATTGTAACGATAAGTGAAATCATTACCTAAAGTTTGTTAATAATGTTTTAATTAGTGAAAATAAACATGGTTCCAATTAGCAACTTGCTGGGCGTCAGCGAAAGCTACTAAATCACTCAATTTGATAAATGTTTGAAGCTCGTGGGAAGCACGATAATGGTGCAACAGGCGCAAAGCCGGAGACGTGAAAACGTTGATGATTTGAGACGGGAAAACCACGCGGGCTTGTTTTCGCAACCCCAGCCTTGAGCCTGTTGCACATGAAGGATATTTATCGGCCCGCCGCACTTCCCAAGCTTTGCAAGGATGGAGGAGGAGGAGGGGAGGAGGGGGAGGAAGAGGATGAGGAGCTGAGGAGGAGGGGTATACCCTCCCCTCAGTACCCTTCCCTCCTCCTCCCCAAGAGCTGCGCTCTAATTCGGCGTTACTGGGTGTTGTAAACGCCTTTCATTTTTTTTCTCGTCTCACCGACACCGACGTCGACACCGACACCGGCTTTTTTGCGAAAAAAACAAAAAAAACTAAAAAGGTTTTTGAAAAAAAAAGAAAAAAAAAAGAGAGTTAAAGGTGAATTTGAGAGTATTTTTATCCCGCGAACCTGAATATCGCGTTCGTTTTCCCCGAAGGTGTAACTAAACGCGAGAATACACGAAGTATCTCCAATTAGTCGTCACGTCATTAAAAAAAAAAAAAAAAAACTCTTTTGGCCGCCAAGCCCGTGTCACTCGTGAAGGCAGCGCGTGCAATTGCAAGCTTGCCAGTTCGCCGATTATCTGATTCACTGAGTCCTGCGGATTTAATGTAATGTATTTGTACCACTCATTGTTTTATTTCCCGCAGAGAGAATCAAATCACCTAGACGTTGGGGCTTCAAAAACGAGCACTTTTGCTAGAGGAGTCTTTGAACTTAAAAAATAACACCAAAACTGTTTGTCTTTTTTTTTTTTTCAGAGATGGTATACCTTTCATCGAGAAGGCGGCCCTCTTGTTACATAAGGTTCCCCTCGAAGATGTGGACTGTTTTTATCGGGAAATATTTCGAAACCCCCGACACTTCATGCCAGATAACAAGCATTTCTACGGAGAGAAAGTCCCGCTGAAATTCGGCGAACATCTAGACAAAGAGTTCGTTCTCGTGGAGTGTTCCCAAAAATCGAAGCTTACAAAGGTCTTCCACAAGCAATTCTTGCTCAATCCCATACTAAAAAAAGACGTGGAGTTGCGGTGCCAGGGCGTAAAGAGAAGCACGTCACACAACTTGAGCGTTTTGATTTTAGGTTTGGATTCAGTGTCTAGCTTAAACTTTGCGCGGCATCTACCCCAGACTGGAGCTTTTGTTCGGAAACAACTTAAAGCATTTGAACTCTTTGGATACAACAAAGTTGGAGACAACTCTTTTCCAAACCAACTTCCCCTCGTCACTGGAATGAAAGAAACGGAAGTCTACGATTCTGTTCTGCACACATTCTGTGACAAACTTGACTTGATCTGGAACAAATACGCGGAGCGCGGCTACAGAACTATGTTCATGGAAGAAACTCCATATTACAGCCTGTTCAATCATCACCTAAGTGGCTTTCGAAATGCCCCTGCCGATTACTATGGTCGTCACCTTTTTCAAGCCATAGATGTTTTTCCTAACCAAAGGAAGGTTGACGGTGTGTCCTGCTTAGGGCCACGCATCCAATTTGAGATGCTGCTTGACTACCTAGCCCAGTTCATAAATGAAATGAAAGGTCGACCATTTTTTTCTTATACCTGGATTAGTGAGATAACGCATAACACTTTAAACAATGCTGGAAAGGCAGATCTACCTTTCCTCCAGCACTTTCAGAAACTAAACAACTCTGGAGTTCTCAACCAGACCGTGGTAGTCTTCCTCAGTGACCATGGTGTTAGGTTTGGAGGCATTCGAAAGACACTTATTGGGAAGTACGAAGAAAGACAGCCTTTCGCTTTCGCGATTTTTCCGCAGTGGTTTCTGGCATCGTATCCTCACGTTGAGGAAAACCTTCGAACGAACCAGAGGCGACTTCTTACCACTTTCGACATTCACGCAACGTTGATGGAGCTCCTCGACTTCCCTCAACAACCCCGTCCACGGACCAAGTACGGCCTCAGCCTCTTCCACGAGATACCGGAGGCACGGACGTGCGCGAACGCTTCCATTCCGTACCACTGGTGTACTTGCCAAACGGACGAAGGCGGCCAAGTTCCACCGGCATTCGCCACTCTTCTTGGCGAACACCTCGTAGCTGAGATCAACGAGCGAATTTCGAACGAATCAAGAAGATGTCACGTGCTTAAGCTTGACAAGCTTATAGACCTTAGGACCCGCCTAGCGTCGCCACGGGAGAGGAATGCCACTGTCAAGCATTACTGGGTCACTCTTCAAGTCACACCTGGCGGCGGCGTTTTCGAAGGAACGCTCCGAGTGAATGAAACGGGCGGAGGCGTGTCTGTGCTGGAAGGAGTGAGCCGGCTAGATAGCTACGCGGACTCAGCCCGATGTATCAGAGACCACTCGTTAGAAATGTTCTGCCATTGTTTTAAGAAAAAGTGAGAACGATAATAATGTTTTATATATGTTTTTCACCGTTCGTCTCGACGTTGTCAAGTACGGCCTGGGGGCGCCGCCATCTTGCTGCTGGTGTGGGTAGATCGTCTGATAGACAGGCACTGCTGAGGCGTACCCACGACCTCGACAATGCTTGACTATCAGACGGTCTAAGCACACCAGCAGCAAGATGGCTGCGCCTAGAGGTTGTACTTGAAAACGTCTATAGTCGCTGACAGCTTGCAGGGTCCGGCTCATTATTTTAACGGTGCCTGCTTTGCGATTGGTTCTTCAGCGACCTTATCGGCCGATACCGCAACGTGAATGGCTGTGATAATCTCGAGACTCCCATGCCCTTCATTTCTCAAGCTGTCTCTGACTCGCTGCATGTATCCCTTTTTTTATGGTGGTCAATAGAATCATTAAACTTTTACTGTATTGGCGGATTGCATGGTTTGTCATCAATAGCATTGCACATCTTTTAATGAAACTATTATGACTGATCTTGGGGTGTTAACAGTCGCTTCTTACCAAGAAGCAATAAAACTTTATTTTGTTACGACGAAAAAGTTCACAATAATTTTCATTCAGATAATGTTTTGCTCCCTTGGTTTATGCGAGCACACTCAATGCCATGCCTTCTACGACTGCCTGTAAAGGTACGTAACCTTTATTTTTGAGGCTACGGGCTTGATTCTTAAAGGTTCGATGCACGTACCGGTAAATAAAAAAGTAAAAAAAGACACGCTAAATTTTTATCCAAAATTAAATTTTATTGTAACGCACTTGCTCTGACAATTCATGAGTTGCGATCAAAATGTTCAGATACTAATTTTGTAGCATAAAGAGAAAGACTAGAGCAGTAATGCGCACCTAGTAGTCGAAGGCGGGGACCCCCCATTGGTCATTATGCCAAAGGGCGTTCTGTGAACATTTAGAGTTGCGCTACATGAACTTCTATGGTACGTGCACGAGCGCAATGAAGATTTCAGAATAAACTGGAAACCACCCCTACAAACAAATATTCCTATCCAGAGTCACGTCGTATCGCCAATTTTCAATAGATTTTCTATAGACCTTCTTTCAACCGAAGTCAACAAAGTACAGACAATATAGGAAGGCTATTGAATGTTTATCGAAACGTGTCAATAGACTTTGTCACCACACTTTTATAAAATATCTATAGACTAGATTTGATAGAGTAAGAAGAAGCAGTGCGGAAAAGCGACATCACACCCAGTTGGAAACTCCTTGCAGAGGCTGCTTTTTTCGACTGCGTCAAATAATTATCACTGCTTGCAATGCTTTTTAGTTGGAAATAAGAGTCACCAATCACTACAGAGCACATTTAATATTATTGGCGATAAAAAGCAATATACTTGTAATCTTTTTATTTTCTCGGGTGGCCCTCGCTTAAATGATTGCCTTTCAAGTGTAAAGTTTATGGCCGTGGATCAGTGAAAACTACTGAGTTCGGGTGACCCTCGCTCAAATGATTGCCTTTGAAGCATCAGTGAAAACTAATGAATTACTAGTGTCCCGAGCGCTCCGTAGCAAGTGAATTTCCGATAGTTGTGATGTTGAGTCAAGGAAGTTATAGTGGGCGGAAGGTGGCGTCCGCATTTTCCATACATAAAGCGATGTATAACGGTAGTACGAGTGGCCACAAAATGTCCTCTCATTCACTCGGCTATTGAGACGATTATTTTCCAGTGTCTTTTTACATCTACTAAGTTTTCCATCTTTGACCACAGTCTCGGATAATTTTCATCCTGATTAGAAAACTCAGTTAATGAACGCCGCCATGAAAATATGGGGCAAATAACCTCGTTGTCATGGCATTGCCATGGCAACGCGATTGACGCGATGCCACAAAATGTTGCCTTCGTCTTTAGGCCATTGAAACGATCCTTTTCCTGCGTCTTCTTTGTTCTACAAGTTCCAATCTCTTACCACAGCATCAGGCCATTTTCATCGCAAAAAAAAAAAAAAAAAAAAAACTCAGTTCATGAGCGCCGCCATGAAAATAAAGGGGGGGGGGGGGGGGGGCAAACAACTGCGTTGCCATGACATTGCCATGGCAACGCGGTTGTTTGCTTTATATTTTCATGGCCGCATGCACTGAATCAGTGTCGGACAGGTGAGATTTGGAGCCCAACACTTGCCTGACAAGTAGGAAGTCGGCGTGTAGCGGACGCTGTCGACGCCGAGCCGGGAGCTTCGGTCTAGAGCGAGTCGTCATAGCGCGGCTTTGGGAAGCGAGCTATGTTAGGGCGGGTTAGGAGAAGCGTACAAACCCTGCGTCCAGCAGATGTTCGTTTCTCTCCGCGATGATAAGAGTGTGCATTCACATCGAAACTTCTTTTGGTGCACCGATCGTATCGAAAGCAAGCCGCGACAGCGGGCGGACGAAGCAGACCGCAGGCACGGAGCAGACGACCGAGCGGCGAGCGGGTCGGTGGCGTCGGTGCGCAAGGCAGTCCGGGATTGAATTCTTTTTCCGGCGCCGCTAGGTATGACGTCATGCCTGGTACTGCCCTACTTAAACGTCCTTCTGGTGAGTGCATGTTTCCCTGGATGCACTGTGACAAACTTAAATGAATGCTCAGGACTTATTATTTTTTTCCTCGCGAAATGTCAATGTATACACCAACTCAACTCTCCTACGTCACGCCGCGGTGGTGGCGCGCCGGACGCACTTCCGGTCTGGAGCGGTGGGCAGAAGTCGCCGTGCCAGACATGCATTCCTGTGTTCCTTTGGAATAAACGAGACAAAACACCTGCCTTCTCGTCAAAATGCTGCGATGGGGGCTTTACCAAGACAGTCTGGAAAGGTTTGAAGATCAGTTTTCATGTGTTTTTGCACCCTCCGTTCGTCCGAGAACGTGGACAGTAGCCGTGAAAAGGGCAAACCAGACGCTGTCGAACTACGATTGCGTGTGCGGGCCACAATTTGTGGTCGCCAGATGTATTTGCTTTGTTCTAACATGAACGAGGGAAAACCCTCAAGTTGTCCGGACCACCCACGGGTTCAGTGCGTCTTCAAATTCACACGGCCGCCTGATCGTTCGAACTTTCGTCTGCTCTTTCAAAGTTGTCTGCTTTTTGTCGTCTGCTCGTTCAAACAAAAGCGGCCCGTAGACCAAACTTTGACCCGGTGATTGCAATAAGAAGTAATTGCAGGCCTCAAAAGGTTTAAGTAGGCTCGGTGTAAACAGTAGATAGAAGATGTTAATTATTGGTACCGGTGGCCATCACCTATTTGTTACGCTTGGTCTGTTCCCGCTTCCGATTTTCAGTATCGACGTCGATCATCGCCGCTATCTTTTACACTTTTGCAGCACGAGCGACGTCGAGACCGAAAATAGCTACAAGAATCTCTTCATGGTTTTGGCGTCCATTTCTACAGCGTTCTTGCGAATGAATCGCCGCACGTCAAACTATTTACGGAAAGTTTAGCGGCGTAACGAGCCTTGATATTTTCGCTCAGGCGATTCAAGTGGTAAGACATTGCGATGAGAACGTAGAATCGACAACTCCAACGCGAAAAAGAGTATGCAGACTCACACAAAAGCCTACAACGTGACATTCGAATGGTTTGTTGACGCGGGACGCGGTGCTTCTTGCCCGTACTCCATTGCGCGTGCGTTCGAACTGTCGTCTGCTCTTTCAAACTTGGCTGCTTTTTGTCGTCAGCTCGTTCAAACGACAGCGGCCCGTAAACCAAACGTTGACCCGGTAATTGCGATAAGAACTAAGTGCAGGCCTCAAAACACATTTGAAGGTTGGTTGGGGTAAGTCGGCTAAGTGTAAACAGATACAAGAAGTTGTTGATCATTGTTACCAGTGGCCATCACCGACTTGTAATGCCCGATTCTACTTGCGGTTTTCAGTATCGATGTCCACCATCTCAGCTACGAATTTCAGTCCGAGCGACGTCGCGACTGAAGATAGCGAGCAGAATCTCATCGTGAAAGTCAGGCTTTAGAGACCATTCTGCGGCGTCCACGTGAAATGAATCGCCGCACGTCACATTATTCACGCAAAGTTTTGCCTCGAAAGTTTTGCTGAAGCTGCTCAAGTAGTCAGACATTGTTAGGAGGGCGTAGAATCAACAATTCCAACGCGAAAAAGAGAACGGGGACTCCCACCGACGCCGGCAACAACGCAATTCAATGGTTTGTTTATGGGCGACGGCGGGCTTCTTGCCCACCACCCACCGCGCATGCGCGGCGCCGGTGGCGTCCGCTAGGAGCGCTCTGGTTTGTTTGTAAACATGAGTTGGTGTATAGAAAGGCGATAGAAGCGTTGTTAGAATTTATGTATGTTTTTATGCAATTTTTATACAATTTTTATCAAGTCTATTTACACAAAGGCCTACAGAAAGTTTAGTTATAAAAAAAGTCGAAAGGTAATGAATTGTGAATAGACAGATTGACACATTTTCTTCAGAATATCTATAGCCTCTATACATACTTTTCTATAGCAATTCTATAGAAAGTTGATACATATTTTTTGTAAGGGCGGCTGTACAACACTAGAGCGCACGACACTAGAGCGCCGACAGTAGAGCGCCGACAGTAGAGCGCTACGACGTTAGAGCGCGCGACTCGAGAGCGCAGCGACGTTAGCGCGCGGGACTCGAGAGCGCAGCGACCTTTGCGCGCATGTCATTAGAGCGCCCGTCACGAGAGCGCAGAACCAGTCCAACGCGAGTGGCCCGACCCGACGGACCACTTGTTCGGACATCGCGTTCACCGCGCGCGAGGGAGGAGGAGGAGAAGAGGGTACAGATGAGGCATACCGTCCCCTCCGTACCCTCCCCTTTTTCTCCTCAAGAGCTCCCCTCTAATTCGGCATTACTGGCAGTAGTGAACATTTTTCATTTTTCACTTCGGAGCTTATTCCTGTACTACAGTTCCATTTGTCTTTTTAGGAACTCGTTTTCATAACCGGCATCTCCTAACATTTCCCACTGTCCTTTGACGGCTTGCGCGATGAAGTGC